TTCTACACACACTATCATGACCATGAAAGCACGCTATTATTACAAGAAACCAAATGGTGGGAAGGTTTCTATTTCACAACTTTTTTTTCCATATAGGATTTCCGTTTCGTTCCAAAATGGGGGTGTCCCCTCAAATACCTCCTTTTTCTTTCGTTATTGTTGCAATATTACGATTTATAGCCAACCTGATCGCAAAATCATGGCATTGATGCACAAAAAGCAAATAAAGTGACTCGTTGGGATCTACAGGGATAACATAAATGTCCCAATGTCATGTCTGAGGGGCTCTAGATCTTACAAAGGCGGACGCGCCCGAGAAGAAAGGAAGGCTTGTTGGGCAAGAGTTACCCCCCCCCCCTCCCCCTCGCTCTACCCCCATCCTACCTTTGTCATTAGTGTCTGGTGTCATTTAGGGGTCAACATATTTTGTCGCTAGAGATGAGGAGGACTTGTTACTCTTTCAAAATCATAAATCCATTCCGTAATATGTATATAATGTATGAGTTTATTCATTTAAATATACGGGATGCAGGTACAGGGATGTAGGTCTAACATGGCAGGCAGGCTCAAAGATCCCAGTGGTTTCTTAGCTGGTGCTGGTTTTCTGAAAATTGATTTGCACACGGATTATTCTAAATGAAATCCTTCTCTTCACCCCTTGAGTTTCGATTATTTTTCTTCTTCCAGCTTATAATCTCTGTTACGTATTGCTTGAATCCTTTGGATGATAAGGAAGTAAACTCGTATTAGGTACAAAGGGTAGAGTATTACGACTAAGAGGCAAATTCTACATAAAGCTGCGAGTTTACGTTAAAAACTGGAAATCATTGTGAAATCAAAGTAGAGTTACAGGAATATGCGAGACATCAGATGGGGGATAAGCGTGAAAACCCCTGCATAATGTGCTAAAAATTATTACGTTCACTCAAATCAACCAAGCAGGGCATATTTTCATGACCGCTCTTTGTCTGAAAAATGTTATGCCTACAATGTTTTACATTGCACTACAAATTGGTAGCATCTTCAAACCCATGGCTTATAGGCCTGCAGCAAATATTTGTAAGCGATTACTGGTAGTATTCGTCAACATACATGCCAAAGGCAAATTAAATTAATGTATCGACACACCCAAATGAGTTTCCGAGGGTCCTAATTTGCATTGTCGGTCTTCTACTCTTCGAATAAGTTAATCGATAATTGCAGAATCCAAACTATATTGAATAGTAGGTGACGTATTATATTTCTTTGGGTTTGTATGGCATCGTTTGAAAGTCATGCTGAGGGGCAATGATAAAGGATCGATCCTAACATTTTATGGTCCTATGCAAGGCTCATTAGTTTCGCATAAACGAAAACATTTGGAAAAGATAATCAAGGTAACATGTTAATCATCTATGATGTATATTCATCATCTACATCAGGTAATCATTATCCATTCGTCATTTTAAAATACATACGTGTTTTTATGTTTTTATATATTCTGCCGAACAAAGCTTTCAAGTACATCCCCCCCCCCCCACTCCTGTCCCCTTGCCATGCTCATGGTATCATTAAAGCTCGTCGTCTAAACAAACAGATCTATACAGACGCGAAGACAAAAACGGCAGTTGTTTTCACATCGCATGTTGTTCAAACAAAAGAAATAAATTACTGGAAGGAACAGAAGAGTAGAAAGTTATGGAGAACTGAGAACAAAGAGATATGGATTTATTTTGGATTGAGATTGAGGAGCAAAAAAAGAGACTGGTGTTTTAATAAGTGTACTGAGGGGTTATGACGAAAAGACTTGTAAGAGACTAATTTGTTAGAAAAGCACGTGCTCGCAAGTTCCACCAAACACGAGGAATCCTACAGATCTAAGTTCTATCATGCAGGCAATGGAGTTGAGATGCGAAAGCAGATCTTAGATTTTCCATAAAATTCAGTTGATTTAATTTATCAAAGCCCCGATTTAAGAGAAAATTATCTAATTATCACACATTAAAGATCTCCCTAACCATATAATACAGGCAAACATGGACATTTATTATACAGATATGCAAAACCCGAGATAATATTCATAATTTTGTTATTTCAACATCACATTTTCAAATAACAAGTTTCATTTCTTTGATAGTGACGCTCTGATTCACTTAAAAACCACAGCCGTTTCTCATGAACATTAAGCTGGTTGCAATGCAACAGCATGCCACTTTAAAAAAAGCATTTGTTATTAACTTCAGCATGCGTGTCATGAAACGATACCCACTTTCATTTCGCCACGATTCTCTTTCTTTGATGTTTTTTGAAATTTTGGTTTTGTATTTTTCAACGGCAACGCTTGGAAAGAAAACCGCATATTTCCTGGTTTAATTAGACCCTGGGAAGTAAAGCCACAGATGTATGTGAAAGAATGACAACACACTCTCACGGCCCCTCCCCCTATTTCCCCATCTGTTTACTTGTGTGACCTCTCTCATGAATCGAAGTCATGTCGCTACAATCACCCCCATAGAAAGTTTCAACTCTCTGATTGGACATCTTTTCCCCAATAATTTATTATTTTTTCCCTCTTTGCTCTTTTAATTTATTGTTTTTCATTTTAAAGTTTGAAAATGTGAAAATCAAGTCGTGTCAGCGTGTAAGCATATCTCCCTCCTCCTACTCCCTATCAAAGCTTTGCCCACCACCTGTTAATCAAAACTTGAAATGAAAATGGCTTTGCTCTCTTGTTATCATTTTGCCACGGCTAAATTAACGCCGATGGCATATAACAAAAAAAATCATGTTCCCGAATTGCATGATGAGAGAAAAGAAGAAAAAATCTTATCTTTCGACGCCTTATAGTATTGTGGTGCATCATTTGAGAGCATGTATACAGGGCCGAGTAGTGAAGCCAAGCAGACGACACGCTACCACTTACCGCACACTCACGCAGTAACTCGACTGTCTGCCAACGCGGCTAGGAGATGACGGGATCCTGGCCTGGCAACAAGGCAAAGCGTTTTGTCTACCTGAGCGATCAAGACATTTCACTGTTAATATGACTCCACACATCTAGTTTCCAGGCAACATGAATGCTGTGAGACACAAGCTACGGGTGTTATTCCACAATAAGAAGAAATCACTGAAATATCCGCCAGAATGCCACATTTTTGGAGTGCCGAGCCTTCCTCTCCCTCAAAACTTTGGGTCGCAAGTGCTTCTGCCGCGTCGGGTTCTCGGCTTTTATACATGACCAGACTTTCACCCAGTGCCATTAACGTACATATCATTACATAATTAATTAATCAATTAAGATTTATACCGTACACAAACAAGTAAATACCTTTTTATAATAATGAAATGGCAAATGAGATTTTTAGTATTCGAAATCTTGGCTCAATTTTTTTAAAATCTTTTTGTTTAATTTGTCAACAAATGAATACTTGCGAACGAGCCTGAAAAAGTCCCGTTTGTGTGTTTGCTACTCTTTACTCTCCTTAGGAAACCAGCTTCTTTTCCATAGCCAAGGGGGTAGGGTTGACGTGCAAAGGGGAATCGCGCCATATCACCTCGCATAGCTTTAGTCAACATTGGAGAATAAAATGAATATATGAAGTGTGAAATTCAGGATTTCTAGGGCAAAAAGCTGCTCCACAAATGTATGAAACTTGAACTAATGACCCCGTGCTCTACAATGCACTCGCGCCTCCAGCAGCTGTGCGGGAAGCAAGAGTAGGGGTACCCTATTGCTCCTCATTCACCAGTGCTCGTCGTCACCCTGTTCATCAACATTTTGACACAGCTCAGAAAGAAAATTTATCCAGAGAATGTAATGGAATTTCATCAAGATATTCTTTAAAGCATGATTTTCCGAATACAAGAGCTCAAAGTAGAAAATTAGGCAATTTCAGGAACATTCAGGGTAACCCTAGGGTTGAAGTCCAAATCAATCGGCACACTGTGGTTTAGACGAAATCTGTTCGTTCTTCTTCAATTTCAACCAGAAAAAATGCAAATGAAAGAGAAAAAATGGCCCCAAAACTTCATCATCTTTTGCCCAGCATATTTGTTAATGTGTAAGCGCCATCTAGAGCTCAAAAACAAGACATTCGTCACCCATACCGGGCGTAAGGTACCTCCACAGCGTCTCGGCACCCTTGCCGACACAGCTCGCATGCGCTGTCTTTGAGCTCCATTTCTCGATATTTCGACGCGTTTTGTCGGCAGTTTAATGAAAGTTTTGATAAATTCAGAATATTTTTCAACGAATGAAATGAAAAAATAGCCATTTCCGATCAATATGAATGAAAATGACGGTGGTTAAAAACATGCCACCGCGTGACAACCATGGGATGACGACTGATTGTCGGGCTCTATCCAGGGTCGTCTCTATTCAAATGTCCCGCCCTGGGTTCCAAATTCTGCGTTTGTAGAATGGCAGATGTGCTATTTTGTGAAAATTCAGGGATCGTCTTTAAAGTTTTACAACCCACGACGATGACATTCTCTTCTAAAAGGTGCGAAAGACGCAGTAATTATGTCTAGATACATGTTATAAGGACATGGATACTTCTGCGACTATGTATGTACCATCATAGGCTCATTGATCGGAAATGGTCAAAGTTAGGAACTTTTGATTGATTTAGGGATTGCAAATAAATACTTTTGTCCTCATTTTCATCAAAAATTTTGAAATTTTAAAAGCAAGACAGTGTGAATTGGTGGATTTGTGCATGGATTAGACAGAGCGTCCAGTGCTCGACCTAATTGTTCGAGGCCATGTGTAAGGACGGATGCGTGTAAGGCGTACTGTCCGAGCAAGTGATTTGAACCGTCATTGGATTTTAATACTGCCCCTTTGAGCTGAAGTGAGTAATGATTGATGTGTGGCTGCTAGCAACTAGGAGGAGTGTTTACGCGTATCCAACCAGACGCAAAAGTATAACTGAGTCGCGCTGGTGGTACAGGCAGCAGACCGTGTTGTGTCGTCGAGAGAGTCGCGTTGAAATAGAGGAGCTATTCGCTGGGCTATAAGCATGGATATGCAACATTGTGCCTCGAGTGATGCCGTCTGTTACCGCGATGCCTACCGTGGCTCCCTCGATGCCACCTCGCTCATCCCCTGCTCCGATTACGATGCCTTCGACAGAATAGGGACTGGGAATTGGTACACCAACGCCCCTGGCATTTACGCCGCCGATCACGGGCCCGTAGCACCTCGCCCATACCCTTGCCCATCCTTTCCCGGTCCTCTGGCATCATCCCCTACCACTTGCTCGCCACCTTTTGTGCCTTCTTCGCCGACAGTTTCAACTCCGACATCTTTTCAGCAGCGATCACCGGGTCACTCGACTTCGTCGTCGATGTTTGATACATATATGGACAATTCGATGTCGTGTGAACGACGGAGTGTACGCGAGGACCTCTCACCATCATCAGAAACAAGTAGTACAAGGGCATACACGAGCTCGTCGAATGAATCAACGCCAGAAAAATTAGGTAAGAACAAAATTTCGTCACCTTATTTCTAACGTTTTTATTTTCCGAAACATTTTCATGTGCAACATTCTTTGCTTAATTGTTCTTGCGTAAATTCATGGCTACAAAGGTGACGTTTAAATGTACCCGCTCTCAGTACACCCCACATTTTCTGGAATGTATCATTAGTTTGGATTTGTTACATCTCATAAGCATAATTTTATTCTCAAATTAATAAACAATTAAACAAGGAAGTTGCATTATTGTATTTTTATTACCATTATTAAAATTATTTATCAAAACATTGAACTGAAGGGAAGAAAAAAAATGTTTTATCATCGGGGAATGAAAAATAAATTTCTCTCATCGGAGTGTCATGCGAGTTAACTTTGGTGATCAGTGATTTCAGCGTACCGTTAGGGCATCACCGCCATCGGCGGTCGCGGACTCGCTAATGAGCCGTCATAGATCTCGCTCTCGGCGCGTGCCAGTCGAATGACCAGCGAGCGCGATGATGCCCCTCGTCATCGTCATTGTCCTGGTACGCAGCGGGATGTCCATAGGTATCGTCGAGCGGCCCTTAATCCATCGCTCGCGAGCCGCATTACGACTCTCGATCCAAGACAAACTCTCGGCTCGCGCAGATATAACTCGAATAATAGTCCCTCAGGGCGAAGGTGCTCTATCTCGGGTAGCTATTCCATCCATTTAATTGTAAATGTATTGAAACAATTTGCCCTCTTCTCATCTGTCTCTTTCTCTCTCCCTCTCCTTTTCTATCTCGGAGTACATCGATGTCGACAGATATACAGATGGAAAGAAATATAAAGAGAGAAAGAAGGGGAGAAAGGTGGGGGAGGGGAAGAGGTTCTTTCAAAAAGTTCTGTTGATTCTCATTACTCCTCTCATATTTTTCTTGCCCGCACGTTAATAGTCTTGGCTGAGTGAAATATTTCGGAACTAAAGTACCACCATCTGTAATCACTCATGCTATTTTCTCTGCCCTTTTTTCCTTTTCTGTTTGTAACCATATGTCTCCCGAATGGTCTGCTTTATTCGGTGACGTTTTATTGCTGTAAAATGTGCAAAACAAAATGCCTCATAAAATGTCTAGTTAAATTTGATCTCATACTGATTAGAAATAAAGCATTCTCGTTGTTAATGTTAGGAATACAAACTGTGGCACCATAAATTGTATGTTAGCAACGTGACCTTTTGTATTTGACCTGAAGGTGATTGCGTTTCTCCAATAAGATCAGTTGTACAATGTGTACGTTTTTCCTTCCATTTTACTTCAAAGTTTGAAGTTCCTTTTAGATCTTATACAAGCCAAACGTTTTTGTATGTTAACAAGAAAAATACAATGTAGCCCAAATCAACTTGTGTACACCTTGATCAAACTTAAGATAATGATACAAACGATACAAAGATACAGGATTTAAAAAATAAAAATACAGGTAACTTATATTCTCATATTTCATTTTAAATTAGTGAAGGTTCTGCTCAACGAATTTGAAGACGTATTTCTTTAAAAAACAAAAATGTTATTTGTGATTTATTTTGGTACGGAATCGAAAAGTTCTCATCGAGCCCCGCCCCGACAGGCACCCTCAAAACGGTCGACGAAGACGCTTGGAAGAGACCCCAAACAAACTTCCACCAACCAATCACAATCGAGCATGGATCTTGACGTCGAAATTCAACCCTTGACCTAATTAACCCCACATCGTCGACGTGGCAGACCGCACATATATCTTCACCAATCAAACTGGTTTAGATGATTTCGATTTTCATTCAATCTAATCTGTTTTCTCGTTCGTTTTCCACGCTGTACGCAATCGAATGGTAATTTTTTAAGAGCACTGCCTATAAATTTTTGTCAATCTTGAACATAAAAACGATTTAGCCATGCTGACGATAATGTAGATTGTCACAAAAAGTTTTTTCATTCGTTTTTTTTGTTGTCATTATCATAGTTAATGATTTTCTTTTCTTTCATTTATTTTTATAGATGGCCTAACAAAAGACCTGAATGGCGATGGTTGTCGAGCCAAGAGAAAGCCTTACTCCAAACTCCAGCTCATCCATCTCGAAGACGAGTTCAAGCGTAGTATGTATCCCTGCCGTGAGCGCCGTGCATGGCTCTCTCAAGTCCTCGAACTGACCGAACGCCAGGTTAAAATCTGGTTTCAAAATCGACGCACGAAGCTTCGGCGTACAGTCGAACGAGAGCAGCGAGAGAACGAGCAAATGCAACGGGACATGGCGGACTTAGCAATGAGATTCTATGTACCCCAGTAATCGTTATTGGAACGATTTGTGACAATTTCACTTATTCGTCGATGTTTTTTTTTTATATATTCGTCGGAGAAGAGGGAGATAGCAAGTGGAAGGATAGGAATGGGAAAAGTGCAAGAAACTGAAGGCATTGCGATGGGTTTCCAAGTCACGCTGCTGGCGTGCGCAGTGCAGCGTGAATCGACTTGATTCGCGTGCCTTTTTCATTTTGGGTGTGCGGTGGTGTAGTAGAAGCCAACCTGTCTCATCTCGTCACTGATCTTGACATGACCTCAAACTTTGACCTTAACGATCACCCATCCCATAAGTCAGCCTCAAGCCATTGGCTGACTGTCTGCCTGCCTGCCTGATGCCTTCTACACGAATGCCGAACGTAAGCGGGCCATCGTGCGTCGCGTGGCTGTGGCGTGCCTCCAAGGTTTACAGCCAGTCATCGGCACGACGCAGCCAACCAAAGACTCCCGTTTGGTTGTGACGTGGGAGAATCATTTGGATTCATCGCTGAGAGGTGAAGTTTGTGCGGGGGCACCGATCAAATATGAGACGGCATACCACAATCATTCTCTTTCTGTCTCTCCTTTCTCTATTGCTTTTTCATCTGCCTTCACTACTTCCCCCTCTCTCTCTTTCTCTCTCTCGCTCTCTTTCTCTTTCCATCTCTCAACCCGTCTACCGCTGTGCCTCATCCTTGGCCAGCTAGCGTAATATCCCCAGAGGAGACAAAGCCACGTGCCTGCCGCACGCCTCACACGCTCTCTCTCCAGCCAGTCAGCCACCGTACTTAGTCAGAACGCAATAAACAGATCCCCCTCTTCAAAAAAACAGATGGAAATGCTATTGCATCAAAACTTTTCAAGAATTGTCCAAGTCTCCGGGTATAGAATAAAGGTGAAAGGGGGAAGGGAGATTTTTTTCTACTCTTTGATGAGTTAATGGACCTGTTTGAGCCAATCTATGTCCGGTGCTGAAATATCCCCCCCCCCCCCTCCTCGTTTGAGCATCCATGCCAGCAGATGTAAGGTATTTACTTAATCGGGGCATATTATATATAATAGAGCAAGTTGATCTACAACTCCAATTATTATTACCCGCGTTCTGATTTTGCCTTATAGACAAATAATTTATTTCTTGATTATTTTGAAGCATGGCGCTTAGATTTGAAAGTATAAATACGAACGGAAGAAAGAAACAGCTCGAACAAATGGGCTAAATCTGGGCAGATCGTGTCATAAAATAACCAAGGATTGAAGTATGCAAAGACATTACATGACATTAGTGATTAATGACGTTGCCTTTAATGATTGTACAGAAGAGTGTATATTTTTCTACCATCTTTGTATGAAATTTACATTTATGTACTATGCCTTGCGAGAGAAAATAAGTGCTCTTAGATTTATCATACGTACAACATTCCTATTCAACTTGAAGACAGTACCTTGAGAATTATGGATCCATGTTGGAATTCAGTGATATGTGACATTTTTTCTATTTAATTATACGAGGTTCACTAGGATGTAAAATCATACTAAATTGCTGCTATTTGAAAGATTCAACAGGTCGAGTGTACATAGTGTATGTTTCAAAATAACATTTGAGAATCATGCCTTTTAATGAAGCAGAATCTAAGCAAATCAAAACTTTTTGTTTTAAACGTTGACACTGATATCACAAACTAACCATCGTACGAGTTTCATTCGAACTCTACAATGAGTGTTACTCTACACGATCGGGATAGATTTATGTGACGTATTTTATACATAGCAGACTTCTAAATGTTTCTTGTCATTCATTGTAACCGAGGTGATGACGAAGATGTTGACGAAATATTCAACTCTTGTACAGACTATTTATTTGAAGAAAAACATTCTTATACAAGATGCCTTCGTAGAGGGCATTTACATACCCTGCTTAATTGAGTAATACCCCTCTTCGTCATATGCACAAACGTTTGTAAAAAAAAAATCAGATTCATGAACTCTCTTTCATACCAAAACTTTGATATGTTTAACATCTTATATGTATTCATCCATTGTGCTGGTTTTATGTAAATAATCTCTGCTGAGACATGGACAATTCATGAAAAAAGAAATTTCATACAAAATTAAAATACATTTTCTTCGTGATGAAATAGTGGACATGGATGAAAGGATGTTTCTATAAGAGCCAGAAGAACGCTATCGCTGTATTAAATTATAGGTGTAAACGCCCTCCTGGCTCTAAACAGACATTGGTGGGGGTTTTCTATTTAATAAAATAAGACCTGTATAATTTCACATTGTATTCTAAGCCTTTCCATATTCGACCTATCTAAGCTGTCTCGTTTGTAAATTTTACTATTTGAATTGTACAGCTATGGGAAAGCACTAATGGAGCAATATGGAATATAAAAAGATGCATAAAGTCACTTATTTAAAAATCCTGTTAAATTGTTTCTTATAAAACAAAAACAATATGTTCATCGTATCATTGTAAGCATGGTAATCAAATGTTTCTCAAGTTATAATAAAATGACAAATATGTGTTTTTTAACAGTAAATGCACCATCATTTTCTTTTAAGATTTAGTATCTGATCACCAACTGTATTCTTTAAAAGTTTGAACGAACTTTTGAAAGAAAATATCTTAATGTCATGTTTCTTGTTGTAAGGACATAATTATTAAATTGTATATCATATTCAAAATGACTTCAGGCCTGGCTGTACTACTGTGGACATGGCACTTTAAACTCTCTGTATTACATGTCTTCTCCGCAATCAATGTTGTAGCCAGCCTAGACTGTTGTATTTCCTTGATATTTCTTGTCGAATTCTTCCACCTTTGATATTCAATACCTTGAGCTGATGTAAATATTTTTTTACTACTCATTCCATAAATTGTACATATTAGTAGGAAAAAAGAAAGCAAAATAAAAACGAATATATATTTTACTTTAATATCTCCGCTTTTGTGTGTGTTGATTTTATTTTAGTGATGTGTTTTGCAGAATAATAATCATAATGAAAGATGCATTGTTTCGAAAGATTTATGTGAATGTTGAAAACTGTTGGCAATCATGGTAATGACTTTTATCAAATCAATGATACTAATGATGGTGTTTGATGAGGATGAAAATGATGACTCTGACAACTACGTCGAGACTGTGATTATGATAATGTTGATTGCGATGATTAAAGCTAATCTTGAGTTCTGGTATGGGAATCGTATGTCGAGAGAAGATGGCTATAATCCATTATGGATTGTTTATCCTACAGTAGATTGATTATTTTATCCAGTAAAGAAAAAACAAACTCACAAAAACTTGCCGGAAATCATCTTCAATAAAAACCAGAACTCTCATTTGCACATAGTGACCTGTGTTTAATAAGCACATGGTGTCGGGCCTACTTACCTTGATTTCCTTTTCTTTCTATGCTCATTACTCAACCCCTATACATTTTCTACCAAAATCGTTTGGCACATGTCATTTATTTGTAATCTTGAACATTCATTTGTTGGATTCTGTGAAAATCTATTTTCTATCATTACCATAACTCAAGCTTATCTTTACGATGAACTTAGTGACAATGATGGTGATGATGGTGATGGTGATGATGATGATGGTGATGATGATGATGATGATGATTACGATGATGAAGATGATTACAATAATAAAAACAACAATGTTAAAAATGATAATGATGATGGGAGAGAGAAGAAAGAGGAGAGGGAGATAAACAACGAATTATGTTATTTAAATCATCGCCTATACAAAGACACATTCCTTGAAATGTCTTCGCAAACATTTAGGCTACGACAGATAAATCACTTTCCCTTTTGGCACAATTTCCATAAATCTTACATATTTTCCCCGTCTGAGCTCCCAATTGGGTCATTGTAACCCCTGTGACCCCCAATGGAACCAACCTCTGCTGTCGATAAGCTGATTAAAGAACATTTCTCTCCTCGTTTCCAGCCACCAGGGGGTTAAACCAAGGTGGAGATGACATTGGCGGTTGATGTGATGTTTTCGATACGTCAGTTCAAGTTTAGGGTTTGTGGAGGGGGCATTTTTATCGCTGTAACTAAGGTGACACAAAAACAGTGATTTGCAATATTTAAACGTGGATTTTTTTTTCACCGAAGATCATATTACTGTATCTGAAGGCTTGATTGAAATTTAGTGATCACTACTTGAACGTTTCTCCATGCATTTTTGTTTTCATAAAGAGTTGTGATTACACGAACCTCAAAAAATCAAACACTGCTTGATTTTTACCCATCATTTCATAAGGAGTTTGAACTTGCGTTTAATTTGTTAAGTTGCGATTAAACACAACTTTTTATCCAATATATCAAATCATATACCGCACATGAAGATTCTAAGCCTCTGATTGGTCATAATTGCAGACATGAAATACGCTACTAACTACTGGGCAGTTTAGCGAGAAAAAAAGTCTCTTTTTGAAAATTGGCATTGGGATGCGGTATATAAAACAGACTTTGAACGCTTATCTTCAATATTAAATTAATTAATTTACCAGATAAATATTCATGATATAGAAGGTAAATATGTTTGGCAACGACTCTCTCTAATATTAAAGTCATGGCAAAATGAACATCAACATTTATTCACAACTGGTGCATCTTTGGAATTTCTTTGCAGCTTCGAATATCCATGATAACAGTGATTCACATTCAACGGACAAACATCACAACTGTTTTCTTCCTATGGTTTGTTAATAGCAAATGCCCCTGATTGTAGTTGCTGCCCCCAATGAACTGGGGGGGGGGGGGGGTCATATTTCGCTTTGCTTCGACCATCTGCTGCCAGATTTATACCAAGGTCAAAATCAGAGCATTTGTAGAAACAATAATGAAGTTTGGAGAAAGAAAATAGCTGTTCCTGGAGAGGAAGTGACAGAATGAAGGGGGGATATGGCAAAGAGAGCTTGAATGAAACGCGAAGAAAAAATGAAATTGTTATGTGTTAAAGAGAAGGTTGAGTTCTGGGCAGAGGTGAAACA